TTAAAAAATGCAACTCCATCAAGAAAGCAACACTTTGCATAAAGGATACCACTGGCAACACTTCTCAGAACAGTTTCCAGTCATGCCAGCAACATCCATCCCTAAGTGCTGCTCATCTGGCAGCATTTGGTTCAGATGAGGGATTTAAGGCAGGCCCCCACTGCCCTGTGGAGGCAGTCTGGCCCTCACTGTGGAGGCAGTGGCTGCCCGTGTGCAGGGGCAGCTTTCTCAGGATTTGGCCTTTCTCTACAACAGAGCAGAACACCACTGAAGCCCTGGAACTTTTTCCCTTACAGATGCTTCATAAAAATCTATTTTAAGTAACTTAAATTATTATAGCTATTTCCAAGTAACAGGGTAGCTACTTAAAAAATAGGAAAGGCAGAAGGCTTCCCTTCCATTAGCACACTGCAGAGTCAGGCTGGTGCACCCCAGCCCCAGCTTGGGTCTCCACACTGGCTGGCTGGTGTTGCTTTATGACCTGCCTCGATTGCACATCATCAGCCTGCAGCAGAAAGCCACAGACTGATCCCTTCCCAAGCTTACACCACCAATTTCAAAACCTGTTAATAAATCAATTTGAAAAAATCAGACTTCTCTGCCTAGCAAAGAAACTCCTACACTCCTCAACATGAAACTCCACTGGGAGCGGAGAACAGGAACAAATTGTTTCCTTTTCCTAAGGAGAGGCCAGCTTAACTAGTGAAAAGGTAACGGGGAGCTCAGAAGGAAAATTCACCCATCTTGCTGTTATTCCAGGTGTTTAGGTAGAGCAATTGCTGTGTGTGTATCAAAGCCAGAGCTGCACTGCCCTGGTGCAGCGCTCTGCCAGAGCAGAGCTCGGAGCCCTGAGCACTTGGTAGCTCACACCGACCTGCTCCAAGCAGGGAGGGAGGCAGGCCACAGCTGCCAGGGCTGAGCTACAGCAAAAACGAGCTGCTTCTCTTGGTTTCCAGCTGCACAGGCCAGGCCAGAGCCCCAGCAGGGCAGGCACAGGACGGATGGAGCAGGGACAGGGGCACACGTGCCAGCCCGGGGCACAGAGGGACCAGCACCTCCCCAGGACCAGCCAGCACGGGGCCCTGTGGCCGTGCAGGAACTGCTGTGGGACCAGCTGGGGTGCAGAGCACCTCCTGCCAGACATCCCGGGAAGGAGCACGCTGGAGGAGCTGTGCCCTTCTGAACCTGCACACCGCCTGCTGCACTAACACATCACAGGAATGCAAGTGCATTGCAGCCACATCTTCCCTCTGCAGGTAAATCATTAACCTTCCAGATGACACCTCACAAACCAACTGACTGAAGGATTCCAGGGTCAGTGTGAATCTACGTTTCCAAAACCTCACATCAACAAGTGAAGGTTGTGACTGAATCCCGGTCTCTCCAAGAGGAAGATTAAATGCCTGTGACACATCATCTGCAATCAGAGTGCTCCTTTCCCCAAAGTATCCGTCACAGATTGATAACATCCACACAAAAAGTTAAGTGCAATTATGTCTGTCACTGTCACACACACTTCAGCAGCACTGACTGACATCTTGCTTGCAGCTGACAAACTCTGAGCGGCTGCTTGAGTGATGGTGGCAGGGGCTCCTGCTGCACCTTGAGGAGGGATGCCACAGCAGCCAGCCAGGCTCATGGAGCACCACGGCAGGGATGGAGCCACCACACAGGCAGCTGCAAGGCAGAATGGCTCTGTGCATACTCACAGCAGTCAGGGACTTGCTACAAAATGCCAGAACCAGATTCCAAGAGAACGTCACCCACAAATCCACCAGAGTCTGAGGTGTGGCAGAGCTGAGCCCTGAGACCCTGCTCAAACAAACTGGCAGTCGTGGATGCACAGGCTGGTGAAGCACGGGTGTGCCAAAGGTGGGTGAGTTACCTGCAACCACCACCTCCTTTGGGGAGGATTACTCCCTGCTCCCCAGAATGATGCTGCCATGCAGCTCAAGCCTCGTGCACAGAGCAGAGACACTGAGGGAAGTCACATCAAGCTTCCCCATGTAACCCAAGCCCACAAAAGCCATCCTTCAGCAGCAGGATGGGAACCTGCAAGAGCATTTCTTCAGACTGCCATTAGTGCCAAGAAGCTGCTCCAAGAGTTGGGGAGAAAAGACAGTAAAGCAGCTTGATGCCCTGCACAATGGCACGGCCATGCTCCACGGCACAGCATGCCACCCTCACCAGGCCGTGCCAGGGCTGCTGCTGGAGGCACTAAGCCAGATGCCTGGAGAAGAAAACACAAAGCAGAAGAAATGGCAGAAAAATACCATATAAGTCCAGAACAACTATCAAACAAAGCCTTCCCTTGTGCAGCCCTGACTGAGCCACAAGCCTGTGACGTGTGGCAGAAGCAGCACTGCTGGTGTGCACCAGCCTGTGGAGGTCACACCTGATGCATGACAACTCTGTGATGGCCACCATCCACCACCACCAGCACCTTACACCAGAGCACAGGGGCTAGTGCAGAAAAAATATATCCCACAGTAAAAAGTCCTTCCATTTTAGGTTTAGTTGTACATAGGTGTTTCGTTTACATCCAGTTAGCAATTGTTCTGAAGGCCCCTCTTGATTCAGAATTATTCTAAATGCAGACACAACTGAAGAGAGCAGCTGAGACACCTGACCAGCCCAACAGCAGACTCTCCACAGGGCTCTGTGCAGCACTGCTCACCAATGCAGCTTCAGAACAACCCACTGCTATTCCTGTCAGGATATATCCACATGGAATAAAACAGCAAACTGGCTGCCAGTGTAATCTCCTCTCTCTATGGTGACATGAAAATAAGAGATCACTTGTGACTACAATCTTTCACAAACACTGTGTTGAGTAACTCACCACACTGCTGACAGTGTTAGAAAAGGCCTTCAAGTTGTCTGTGTTCCCTGTAATAATTAATTATTTGCAGGATGCACCTTTATATACATTTCTATTTCTTAAAAAATATATTGGATAATAAATAACCAAAGTAAAAAAACAGACATGAAAGATGCTTTGAATGATCAGGCTGGTGGTGTAAAAGTTACCTGTAAATCACACACGGGGTGTGAGAGTGGAGCTGGCTACAGACAGGTGGGTTTTACTACAAGGCATTAATGTAACATTCAATTATTCCACTGCATACTGGCTGGTTTAACTCAGCCAAATTAGAATACATTTTATATTGACTATTTTGACATTTGCTTTATTTGGCAAGTAAAACAAAACTGATCCAATTTCCTTGCAGCCATTGTAAACCATAAACTGCACAACAAGAGGTTATAAAATATATAAGCCTTGTAAACACTTCTTTTCAGACTGTCACTGATGCTTTGAGCTTAATTTTGGCCTTGTTCCCAACAGCTCTGACACTGCTCTGCAGCCTTCCCTGGTCAGCTATAAAGTGACCCTTCCACACTCAGTGATGAAGCACTGCCACTGACATTCTCTTGCTATGATAATTTTTTTTTTCTTTATTGTGGAAATCTGCCCAGACAGAACTTCTTGCAGAAAGCAAATGAAGATCTGTGCTCTAAAATCAAGTCATCTTTCTCTCTGATCTCTCATGACCTGGGCTGGCATCTAGCTTATGTCCAGCAGAGCTTCAGAATAACATCTCAGGTCCTAGTGGGACAGGCTGCAATCTCCAGAAAACTGCTGGCTTTTCATCTCTTTTGCCTCCATCTCTGAGAAGCATGACAGCATGTCTGCCTGCAGCACACCTGACAGTACACAACAGCAAGCACTGTGCCAGGGCATGGCAGCCTACCAAGCAAAACTCTCAGTGAAACAAACACCCAACTGCTTTGGAGAGCTCGAAGAGCCACCACAGGACAGTGGATTTCATGTCTGGGTCAGGGGTGAAGGCTCAAATGTACACACCTGCCTTAAGGAGGTACCTGACAGCTTTCTGGGAACATGTTGCAGCAGTTTAAAAGCATAACTCTGAAATGACCTGTAAATCAAGATTCTAAAGGACATAAGCAATTTCCACCCATGTGATATAATGACGTTTGTACACAAACTGCACCTTGGAACTCCTCTCTACTGTCTCCTTTGAAATTCTATCTCTCACTATTTACTGTAATACTGTAAAGGTATCTGCAGTGTAGAAAATGCCTAGTGCAAAAATACATGTACATGTGACAGACAAAAGCACAAAGGGACCCGAGGAGAATGTGCTGTCCCCTGGCAACAGCCTGGCCCAGTCTGTGAGCCTCAGCAGCAGGAGCACAATTCACACTGGGTGCTGTGCTTTCGGAGTGAATGTCAAGAGTGCAAAGTTCTCTGTTTCGTCACTGTCTGGGCTGGTTTGTTGCTTAACAACACCTCTTTGTCCAGAGAAATCCAGCAAGTAAGCTGTCAGTGCAGCACTACTGGTATATGAAAGTCTACACACCAGCACATCTGTTGATACACACAGAGAAATATTGCCTGTAACACAGGGAGAACAGCCTGGACAGACAGCGCTGCTCCCATCAGTCACCACAAGATGAGCAGGCTGCTGTGCACACGCATGTCAGCTGCACAACTGGAGCTCAGCAACTGGGTTCAAGAAAATAAAAAACCAAGAACCAGTACTTCAAATCATGAGCAGACTGATCCTGGAGATGAGCAAAATCCATTTCCCTTCTGAAGTCTGTAGAGACACTTCTCCCTCCCTCTGGTGAAGGAGAACAATAGGCCTGGCTGCAGCTCTGGCTCACCCTTCCAACACGTATGTGTCGGAAGCTACAACATCCTGCATAGTTTAAAGCAAAGGAAAGGTAGTTTGCTGTTCCCCTTCCTCTGCAGGCATTTCCTTTCTTCTGGCTTCTTCATCCATTTTTCTTTACACAGCAACAGGCAAAGGAACTTCCAGCAGGCAAATACTTCAACCAACAGCACATTCCCTTATCAGATTGTGACACAATCGTTCCATGCCAATGCAGCACCCTGCTCTTGGTTTCCCAGGCAAGGTTAGCAACCACAAGACATGCAGCATCAAGCAGAAGGAGCTGGAATGCAGAAAACCTACCTTGGCAGGTTGGGAGCGGGCGTTGGAGCCGGTGCTTGGGCGGGAGGAGCCGCAGGCTGTGCGGAGTCGTGGTTGCGCGGCACTCTGCCCATCCGATACCAGATACCCATGCTGTTCAGCTCCCTGGGAAACCAACACACAGCACCAGGGCTGATGCTGCACACACGCACCAGCACCAGGCCCTGACGTGTTTCACCAACACCTTGGTCAGTGAGAACGAGGGTAATTAAAAAGAAGGAGGGACAGTTAACTCCTACATCTAACTCCGTAACACTTGTTCTTACTTGGACTTTTCTAATGATAAGCTTCACCTCTTACAAGCTACTACTTGGTAATTAGAGGAGCACAGGGCCCTTGCTTGGGTGTAACTGCATTGTTATAACTTTGTTATAACAGCTGCAGAGTGAGGGGTACTTACCCTATGAAGGTGTACTGAGGAGGGGCTTGCTTAGATCTCCCCAGGATTCGGATATCACAGATCGCTGCCTCTGTAGAATCTCGAGGGATGAATTTAATGCACAGCCTCTTCTTTCTGAAAGCTACTTCTTCTGCAAAAACAACCCAGAATACAGGGTGGGTTTTATGCAAGATTAGAGTATAAATGTTATTTATAGTCTCTCCAGGTACTAGGCAGGTAATTGTGGCAGAACTGGTGCCAAAGAACAGACATACGTCAACAAACCAGTCAGTGCAGTGCCATTCAGAGGGGAATGTTCTATCAGATGTGCTACTGGCACTGCAATAACCAGTTCTCCTCCTGCCTGCTGCAGAGATCAGCTCCCACGTGTGCCTGGTGCTGCCCCAGAACAGCAGCTGACTCTGCCAGTTCCACATGTTTCTCGCACTCCCTTGCTCTTTCCCAGATAATGTTTGCCTCGCTGGCCTGGACAGCCATATCTAAACATTCCTCCCACAAGCACTGCCTCTAGGAATGTACCTGGAAGCTTCTGATACAACCAGTCAGTTCATTCTGCTCCGTGCTTCCAACCAGCCCCTTCCAACCCTCTGTGAGGAGGAGCAGGCAGAGCCTGCCATGCAGAGTGTAAGAGCTGTCTGTCCAAATCTCACACATCCCAAGTGTTAGTGCCATCTCCTGATAAGTCAGCAGGCACAGAAATGATACTCCCACCACGTTTGCCCTGGTTCTTTGCAAGGACAAACCAGATTCACAAAGCACTAAGTGCCAGAACCTCCCAGGAGGCAGCAGCGCTGCTCTGACCTGTGCTCTGAGGGTGGATGAATGCACTGCACAGCCCTTTCTGCTGTGTGTCACAGAGCAATTGCTTCCATGTTATCCATCACGAAAAACTCAGGCCACCAGAGTTAAGGCTTATCTGTATAATGAATTCACAGCTCTTCAGGCTGATTACCAGCACAAAGACACAATCCACAGCCTGTGCTGGTGCTGTCTGTGACCAGGCTGGCACTGGCACGCAGACAGAGATTTGCAGTGCTTGGAAAACAATGCTCCATCTCACCCTAAGGAGTCTCAGGGTGAGCAAGGTGAGACTCCTGCTTGGAAAGCAGGACAGAAGTCTACTGATATACTGAAAATCTAAAGAGCAGACGCTGAATGAAAATCTGGAAACAACCAGCAACTACAAACAAGTGCCTGCAAAATAAAAACCCTTCATCTTAATGTGAACAAATATCTCCCAACTTAAAATATGCTGTCACTTCAACAGATGGCAAGCAGCCCTGTCCCCATAGGCTCCTCCTGTTTCGTAATCCACACCTTGGGAAACAGCAATCCATTCCAGCCTCTGAAATGTGCTGCTGCACTAGCACAAATAACCATACAGACAGTGTGAGGTGTGCCAACAGAGCATCTGTGCGTGCAGCTTGCAGTTACAGAGGTGTTTTTAGAGATGGTAAATACCTGCATCCCTGAAGTTCAGTCTTCCCCTGCTTTGAAAAAGTAGGGCTTCTGTTTGAAGCGCCTAAAACTCATTTTAGGAGTCTGGGATTTAAGGCTTCCTGAAAATCTTCTCAAGACCTACCAAGGAGTACTGTATTAAATGTATTAACTGTGAGTCAGCTGCCATTTTGAGAGGAGCACAGACACCTGTAACCATAAATCTAACTCTGAACAAAATCAGTGCCTCTCATTTGACTTTCTATGCAAGTACAAAGCCGACTACCTGCTTTTGTCTGTGTTCTTTCACACCACTTCCTTAGTGCAGGCAGTGCCTCTGCTTTAGACTGTCACAGTCACAAGCCAATGCATTTCAAATTCATGGCAAAGCCCCCTTCCACCTTCCCAGCAGGACTTGCACAGAAGTTGAAGCAGCACACCGTAAGGTCCAGCACTCCCAGGAGTCAGCAGGATAAGCCAACAATTCCACCTCATACCACACGTGCCCCAGAATTTTCCAGAAGCAGAGGGTGATCTGGGAGAATAGTCTTCAGAGTCTTTCACTTCCAGGCCACAGGTTCCAATCAGAACCAGATCACAGTGACTGAAAAACCATCCCCATGTGCTGCAGCCCCAGAGGAATGATTCCCTGCCAAGCAGGTTCATGTAACCCCTTTGTGCTCATTCCTAGGCTGCATTTCATCCCTGACATGCACTGGAACAGCCCTTCTGTGAGGAGCAGCTGCACGCCGGGCACCAGCACCAGTCCTGCCATTCTCACACTCCACTCCCATGGGGATTGTCCCCTGCCAGCCCAGTGCCCTCGGTGCCTGCTGCACAGCACAGGCCTGCCACCAGACGTGGCTCCAGCTGCTGCTGGCACAAGTCCCAGGGGAGCTGAACACACTGTTTGGGAACTGCTCACTCATATACTGCAGTGAAGCAATTCTACCTTGCAGACATGAGCATGATATTCCCCCTGGGCACTGCACTTGTGCCTCGTGTCAATAAGCACAAAGATACCTGACACCCCTCAGCACTTGCTGGCAGGACTTGTTCTCCCACAGCAGGAGATGTACAGGGGGAGGGCACAAACACACACCTCCTTCCTTTCAGTGCATTTCTGAACACCCCTTGGCACAGCAGCTCTGCTCCTGCTAGGCCCACGCCACTCTTCAAACTGACAAAAGAAACTCTCCCTTCCTGCCCCAGAGACATGGGACTCTAGCAGGTGAGTGAAGACAGACAGGCACCCCATTAAACAGCCTGAGGAGGACAAGAAAACCCAAGGCTGTTTTATTGCAGCCCAGAGCTGCCCCTAAATGTGCACATGCCACCCCAGAGAGCAGAAGTGCCAGGAGCGACCCTCTGCCAGGGACACGGCCCTCCATGGCCAGGGACACGGCCTTCTGTGAGCTGGGACGTTGCTCTTTGTCACCTGGGACATGGCCCTCCATGGCCTGACCACACAAGCACTGCCAGACTGGGACTGGGGACCAGATGTCAACTTACGTGTATCAATGGTCTCCTGGATGGGCATGAAGCCTACAGGCAAAGTGTCCTTGATATCAATGAGCTTCATGTCGACCAAGACGTTGCCTAAATGACTCTTTGGAGAGAGAAAAGAAACAGTTGATTATGACAATGCCACCAAATTAAACCCCAGATCTTCCCACCTGCTGAAGCCTGAGGTGCCTGGTCACTGTATCTGACCACAGCTTTAGAAATGGTAAGAAGGTACCAAGGCAACCCTTGCACGTGTCCTCTCGGCAGGAACCAAACAATGACTGGCTAGGAGACACCAGACAACTTCCAGCATTTAGAATTCTAACACCTCATCCACTGCCATATTTCCAGATCTTTGGAAGCACAGCCAAATTCTTTCTTTTGTAGGCACAGCAGCTTGAAGTACTAATTTCACCAACCCATCCACTGAGCAGGTCGCCTCAGTTCTTACACACTCTACATTTACAAGAGCAACATGACATTTCCATCACAGCAACAGCAAAAAGCATTACAGGATGATGGCTTATGCACACAGAGCCAAAGTTATTACATGCATTAGCTAATTAGTGCTGAATAGACAGGGTTCTAGCTCCAAATGCAGCGCACTCCAGAAGCACAGGCCATTTGGAACAACAAACTTCATTTCGAGTCCATATGAATTCTGAGCTCATGCCTTGTCCTATTAATCAAGGCTTGAAGAGCTCAGAGCCCAATTCAGAGTGACAGCCTCCACAATGGTTTAGAGACCAGATTTTCTTTGCAGTTTTTGATAAAACCAGCACTGCTGCCAGTAATCTGGGGTCACATATGAAAGAACATATTTTAGGTACTGCACAGCCTTTATAAACAGAAACACAACACAGAACAATTAAAATTTAATCCCAAGCTATCAAACTCTGTCATTGAGTTTTACTGTTACTGCTTGCAAAGTACGTCCTTTAGTTTTTATCTGGCAAGGGTTTCTCAGACAAACCTGCACTCTCTGATTGTTTCACTGAACTTCTTACAAAATATTTAAATTTGCAGGCTGAAATAAGGGGAGGCCAGGTGTGAGTTTATTTTTGGGAGGTCCTGCATTTTACGGTCAGCTCCCCACCAAAGGGCCAGCAGCCCTGCAGCCCTGTCCCACCAGACACAAGTGAGGCACACATCCTCTGCTCTGTGAAGAGGCCAAAGCCAGGCAGCCCCACATGCCTCTGACTGTCCGTGTCCAGGGCATCTTGGAGCAAGCAATGCTGGATGCTGCCAAGCCTGAATGTGTCACTTAACATGCTCCTGGCACAGCAAACAGCAGACAAAGTAGTTGCTGCTGATTCATCTTTCATGTTTTATTTATTTAAGCTGTCTGTGTGTTACATCAGTGGCAACTTTCTGATGAGCCACCAACCACTCCTCAATCAGCAGCAGACAGGCAGGAGAGGTGTCTCCAATGAGCTGGTTAGCTGCTGGAACCCTGCGAGTCAGCTCTGCCACGTGCACAGCAGAACAGGGGACAAAGCCCCCCAGCTATGGCCCCACCATCCAGGGCCTCCCCACTCTCAGATACAGCAATGTCAGATGCTGTAAACTGCTGAGAAGGATGATTCTGCTGAACAGGCTCTGCAGACTGGCTCTGCTCTAACCCAGATACCTGAAGTGCATTAACTCTACTGACTATAACACTGTTCTTCAGGAGAAAAGAGTTCCCAGCATTTTCATAAACACAAAAGGAAACCCCGAATGGCAAAACTTCCAACCCAAAGAGCAGCAACACATCAGTGTCCAGGGGAGAGAGAGGAGCCTCTCACCTCCCTTCCTCCCAGCTGAGGGAACTGAGGCCCCGTAGCCCCCTGATGCCCCCGACAGGGAAGCACATCATACATCCCATGTGGCCAAGAGGACTGAGGGAAGGGGAAACTTTTGCTTTAATTTATGTCTCATCAATATGAAGAAGGTACTTCCAAATCATGGTGACCCCAGGGCTCCTGCCAAAAGTCCAACAGGCACCTCCTGAGGGTGTTTACACCATCTCTGCAGCCAGCAGCTGCTCCTGTCCTGTAATTATTTCTGACAACTTTACACCAGATAAATCTAATACTCAAAATCAGCACAAACCTATTTAATAGCCTTCCTGCCTATTCCAGAGCTGCTATTCCTGCAACTGCACATACTTCAGGATGAAAAGCACAATTATTGTCCATCCACCCCAGGAAGTGGTATTTCCCATAGCTCTGGAGCTTTGCTTTAATCTAGATGCAGGCAGGGAAGCAGATGGAATAAAGGTCAAATGCTGGGAACTGGAAACCCCCAGCTCTACTGCCAGGACCCGTGGGCAGCCCCTGAAGCTGCCATCACCTTTCAGCTGCTGTCACAGTGACAGCACAAGTACAAAATGGTACTTCCAGACCCTGCCAGCTGAGTGGCCGAGAATATCCAAAGCATGACCAAAAGCAGGATTACCCACTAGATGGAGTGCATTCATTGCAGAAGTCAACAGTTCCTCCAGAAAAAGAAAGTTTTCACAGTAGCCTCAACCAAAATCACAGCAGAATGCAGGAAGCTCTTGCTGCACACATCTCCTCTCCTCCACAGAACGTGTGGGCAGACAACTGCTGCTAATCACGAAGTAACTCATACTTAATAGTCAGACCAAATTACAAGAATGTGGTAGCATATGCACAACGTGGGCACATTTTCAAGAATCAGCACCAAAACCAACAAAGCAAGCAAGCTAATCCTGCAACAAAATATCTGTGATGCCCCTGGATTCAGAAACCAACATTTCCTTCACCACCACTACCTACATTGTTTCTTGAGGAATTTGGGTTAGACATCAGGACCATGAGTGTGCAGCACCCTGCAGCAGGTAATGAGGGTGAGAGGCTGCTAAAATGCAAACATTCCCTTTTGTGCTTCTTTTATTGCAGAAGATTTTGTCAGCAATTTCTTTCCATGAGAAACACACACAAAATGCAAATATTCTGCCACTGCACTTTGCCTCCTTACTCACCCGAACTCAGTGAAACGCCTGCTTGAATTATAATTGGCTCCATAAAATGAATCATCGTATGGGTAAGCACATACCAGGCACAGATGCAAATCATGCAGACACTCAACAAATGGACTTACATTTTCTTTCGAAAATGATCTGGTGAAGCACAGGTACCGTGTGACCTTGGATTTAAACAAGCCATCTTTCCACAGGTCAGCATCCAAGCCATCTGCTGTTTGTGCAACCTGCAAAGAAGAGAGAGAGGAAGAGAGGAGACATGTGAGCCAAGATAAAGTTAATGCATGTGCAGTACTTCTTCCTCAGACCTCTCCCAATTAACAGCAGCCCAAACTTTCACAGCATCTCATTAGTTTCTTCACAAGGTGCAGTGGAAAGAACTTTCAAGAGAAGGTATAAAAAGAAGTTCTAAAAATGCTGTCTCTCAGGAGACCCTTGATTAAAGATGCTCTGACAAAAGCTACTCTAATGAGGAAAGTGCAACTTCAGTTACAGTCTCCAAACAATAGTTTGGAGAAGTCAGCACATTGAGGCATTCATTACCACCCTACACACAAGGGCACACCGGGCGTGCTGTGAGGGTCCCTGGAGACAGAGCACAGAAACTGACCCATCTCAGGACTATCTTCATGGAAAGCCATCAAGGAATTCTGGCTCCCAGGTCAAAAAGCTGCTTTCAAGCAGGTTGGGGAATCCCTGTCACTGGTGGATTTTAGCAGCAGTGCTGCATGTGAGGACACACCCCACAAATGTCCCTCTCCAATGCAACACCACATCCAGCCAAACTGATAGCACACGATGGTGCTGGGTGAGGAAACAGACCCTGGACACTGCACAGGAGAGACAGCATGATGTGCAGGAGAAAATCTCACTTCCAGCTGATTCCAGGAGTGGGCAGGAGGCAGCACCATGCACTGGGGAAGGGCTCTACTCTCAGCAGCTGAGCACTCACCACACACAGAGCAAGCTGCTAAGAGCCCTGGCCCCAAAATGTTTGTTGTCAAGTAAGAGAGGAGGCAAGAGGCAAACACAAGGAGAAAGGACAGAAGAAACAAGATTACCCCACCAGACTAACACCCAACTGGCGTCTCCAACAGGAGACTCCAGCATGGTCTGAAGCTCCATAGAAGCTGAACTTCTGCCTAATGCCTCTCTCATGGGGCAAACTGCTCCAGGCAGCTCTTGTAATCACACCGAGCAAGCCCAGAGCAGCCTGGTAACAAAGAGCTGGCACTTGTCACCTTTGCACCCATGTTAGCTGAGCAGAGACTGCACTGGGCACAGGAAGCAAGAGCTGTGTGCTGACAAGGCCTCCAATCACCCCGAGTGCAGCAGATAGACAAGACACAGTCTGATCAGAGCAGCCAAGTGCACTGACTGCTCCCTGAATTTTGGCAACTGCTGCTCAGAAGCTCCAGCTCAGGTCAAGCCATTGTACAGCACACACAGCTTTTGTGTTCAGGCTCTGCAAAGAAACAAGCCTGATTTTTAAACAGCCACATTTTAGAATAGGATTTCAGCAAAATTTTTTGCTTCTTTGAATTCTCTGAATTCAAATCTTTCCTGAGCTGTTAGTTTAGGAATACGTAAAATCTACATGCATCTTCCTCTGTGACGGGTAAGTCAGTGCTGGTGCAAAGATATCCAGGAAACAGTCTGTTTGGGAAAACTGCTGGCATATAGGGATGGTCAGCTTGAACTCCAAGCCAGGAGAATGTAAGCATGAATGAACTTGTCAGAAAACTCACGGGAAAGAAAACAGAGCCGTACAAACAGGAAACTTCTTGCATCACCTGCTGGGCTCCTGCAAGCAAGGAGAAGCCCCAGCAAATCTCAAAGCAGAGCTGTGCCTGATCAGCATGCTCCCAGGACAGGAGCCAAGTGGGAAAGGCCACAGCAGACCTGGCCAGCAGGACAGGCACTCCAGAGCCCCAGCTTGCCCGGCCTTTCCTTGGCTGAGAGGCAAGGAACGTGCGAGACAGAGGATCTGGCACCTGGCACCGAGCACACGGGCACATGGGCACCAGGAATGGTGCTTCTCCTCCTGAGGCTGGGGGAGACGCTCCTCGCTGTGTGCTACAAACAATGAACTGACAGAGCGACCCCCCAGCACACACAGGGTGATCTACCTGCTGCACAGCAGCCACAATGGGGTTACTGCACAGCACTCAGGCCTTTGGGAAGCAGGTCCTTTAATCCCCCTGCCCCACAGGGTGATCTGCCCCTCTGGCAAAGTCAGGGCTGCTCCTGCTGGGTCTGCAGCTTGCTCAGGCACTGCCCCAGAGCAAACCCCACCACGGAGCTGGTGCTCAGCCTGCAGCAAAGAACACAGCTGCACAGGAAGCACACCTCCCTCCTGTCCCAGGCTCCTGCCTCCCACCTCTCCTCCCCACCCAGACACTCAGTCTTGCCAGTTTGGTTGGATTTTCAGGAATCTAAGTTCAGACAATGTATATTTTGGCAAAATCAAGTCTTTGGTGCTTTAGCTGTGAAAAGGCCTGTCTCATCAGTGTGGCACCTGGCATGGCCCCTTGTCAGCAGGTGCTGCACAGGGGACAGCACACCAAGGGTGGCTGGCAGCACCAGGCACACTGCTGAGGTGGAAAGCTGACGTGGCAGCCGTGCTGGGGAAGGACAGCAGACAGCAGGCACTGCCCCACGCCCGCTCCAAGGGCAGACAGTGCTCCTTGTGAGCAGACAGGGAGGCAGCAGAGCCAGAGCAAAGGCAGCTCCTCGCTGAGCCCTGAGGAGACAGCGACCCACATCCACCAGCATTACACCACCACCATAATTGGATTACGCCACAGGAAGACTCTTTTATCTTGTTTAGTTTAAACTGCGCTAGCGCTGCAGCTCCCCATTAAGCCACAGGCAGGCTATCTGGGGTGAGTGTGCTCTCTGCCCAGCCACTTAGGCAAAATGCAATTCTGTTATCAGAAGTCTCACACTGTCCCGTGCTTCTTTATCAGGGCAAGCAGCTAATTACACAGCCTGGCTCACACAGGTAATGAGCACTCGGCAAAACACAGTAAATGTAAAAACCTCCCAGGTCTTTAAGGAGCCTTTTCACAATGCCCCCCTTGTGTCCTTACTTCAGCCTGATCCATTTTGCTTCTCCACAGAGAACAAGGTATGAAATCATCCAGAGCTGAAGAGGCGTGAGCAAAGCCTCAAGTCAGCTGGCTTCCACTCCTACCACACAAGCTGTGTGGCTCTGGAAACTCAAGGTGTGACGTAGCACAGTTGGAACAGATGAACTACAGACCAAATCTTTCTCTATAGATCTCTGCAAGGTCAGTATTTTATATTTCACAGTTTGGGACACTGATCTATGAGTAGGAACATCCTGCAGTTGGTTACACAGCAACTAATCCAAGGAACAAGCAGCTGTTGAACAGCGACCTCCCTTTATCTGTTCACACATTCATCTATGCTGTATCCTGCTGCCTTTTCCTGCTGCCAGTCTCCTGCCAAATCTTAGTTCAGAGGTTTGCATTCTGCCTGTCAAAATCATCCTTGCAATTTCAGCTGGATGCAAAATTCTTTTGATTCCCTTTCTGGAGCTTCTCATCATCACTGTGCAGTGCTGATAATGTGGGATTAAACAGCTGATGTGGGATCCATTCATTTAGAGATATAATTTGTACAATACTTAGAACTCCTTCAGGATGAATGTTACTAGGATTATTAAATTTGCTTGCCACAGTGGCCAGCTGTTTCAGTAAACCCCTCCTCCAGGAAATGAAGCTCCTGTGCAGTGGCAAAGATGAAATGGCACATTTGCACCCACAACCCTCTGCTGAAGGAAAGCACTAAGAGCTGTGGGCTGAAAGGTGGGCAGCTGACTACCAAATGATTCCTGACAGCACAGTTCAAAGGCACGTTCCCTGGAAGAGAGGCTGCTCCCAACACAGTAAAGCCTCATGAGTGCAGAAGCAAAGCATCAACTGCAGCAGCTCAGACAGCTCTACTTACAACATCATATCCCGTGGGCGCTCGGCTGCGGGACGCCAGCACACCGACGCCGGTGATGGGATCCATGGGCAGCTCGGGCAGCGCCTCCGTGAGGTCTCGCACCTCAGGCATTGTGGACTGATCCTGCAAGAAAGCAGCAGAATTAAAGGGCTGCTGGGCACCACACCCCAGCAGAAGCCAGAGAACCAAGAGCACACATGCATGCCACAGTGCCTGTGCTGACACACCACAGACGGCCAAGGTAAACACAGGATTAGGCCAGACACACCTTCTGCACTTTCATTTGCTTTTGATAAGAGGGTATACTTGTGCAATGCCAAATAGGTTTGAAATTTGGGCTGGCAGCCTCTGAGACTCATTTTGTTGCTTCCATGGGCTGGTCTCCATCTAGCAATGACAGGAAAACCAAAGCTCAATCCCTTCTCTTCCAAAAAGAGAACAAATTTCACCCCAAGTCAGGCTGGTTGAAGCAGCTCTGTCATTTTAAACAGCAAGAAATCTGCTCCTAGTGGCTTTAGGGGGAGGTTCCCCACCCACTGTGGGTGTTAAGACATGCTGGGGGTTGCCCCATGAGTCCTCAGTCCCATCACACCCCTGTCAGCCAGACTGATTTCAAGGAGCAGCACAGATGTCTCTGGCGCTGGAACCGCACTGGCTGCAGGGAGCCTCAACACCAGGGAACACAGAGGAAGCACAGGGTGGGCTGGCACAAAGCAGAGAGGCCTTGAGGAGGCCCGAGCATCTTCCAGAAGAGACACATCACCGAGAACGTCAAGGGAGGGAGATATGCAGAAAGGACAGAAGCAGGTAAGACCAACTACTTTCCAAGGGATGCTGCTGCAGGAAGCAGGAGGAGAGGACAAGAAAGGGGCTGAAACAACCGAGGTGAAGGATGGGGAAAGGTGCCACTGCCTCAGCGTGTGGTCTCCTGCAGAGGCAGCCAGCTAAAGCAAGTCTTCTCTGGCTTTCAGGCAGGAGTGCCCCAGGAAATCGCCCCCCACGCACCCCAAGACAAAGGGCAGTGCTTTGTGTAAACAAGCATCACTGCTGCACAGGCAGACAAGCCGTGAACCAGAGCTGCCTAATTCAATTCCCTCCTCAGAGCAATCAAACCCCAGCATTTCTAGGCATTTACTGGTTACTTACTGCTTCTAGAAAAGGCAGAGGTGAGTACTGGTGCCAGTGGAATTGGGTTTACACTTCACAATGCCCAGTCTGAACAAACATCGTGCTGCAGACAATAAAAAAGAGCAAGTCTGGGCCCTAAGTAAACAATAATAATGTCACATGAACAGCCAGACTACTTGAGGAGTCCAAAACAGGTGCTAGTGACCAGTAGTGGTGCAAACACTGTTGCTGATGAACCAAACAGGAGAGAGCTCTGCTTTAGCACCAGTGTGCTGGACACGCATCCAGCACACAGAGCAAAGCAAACCTGCTTCACTCCCAAAGCTGCTCAAACCTTCGAGCATGATGGCAAGTGCAGCCTGAGCCCCAGGGGCTGCCCCTGCTCTCCCAGCAGGCTCCGTGCTCAGGGTGGGCGAGGAGCACAGGACCTTGCAGCAGGAATGCTGGAGGCACTGGCACAGCTATGACAGACCCTGTGCCAATGCTTGTGCCACCCCACAGCTCATCCAGAGGGCTCGCAAATAACGCAGAACCTCAAACATACAGCATGGAAGAAACATAACGTGAATTTAACAAAGAGCTTACAATCTGTTCTTCATGAACGTTTTCTGAAACTTCTTCAAGTCACTCAATAGTGTGGTGAGTTCTTACTACACATTGGGAGGAGCTGGGAGGTAATGAATGCTGACGTAAGCTTCTCTTAGGCCGTTCTGAACTGAAATCCAGGTAAGTGATGATATTCCCCAGCGTGTTAAGAACACCACCCGGCAGGCTCCCACCCAGCTGCAGCGGCACTGCAGGGAAGCAGATCTGCTCACACGGTGCCTCCCTCCACCAAACGCGGCCTGATGAAGCGGCTGCTGCTGAGCACTGCCCAGGCCCCGTCCCTCCACGCTGGGGCCTGCTGCAGGGAGGCCCAGCTGCCCCAGCAGGAACCTGAGCAGCTGCCAGCTCAGCCTGGGCAAGGCTGAGGACGAGGGGGTCCCCGGCACGAGCACAGGAGGGGTGGGCGCTCCAACCCGCAGTGTGGTGCCTCCCCCTCCTGCTGGCACCCTGTCCTCAGCCAAGGAAGAAGGGCACCTTTGTGGGAGCCATGTGCAGCCCTGCTCGCAGGGCAGGGGGAGGGGACACGGCATCAATCCTCACTTTGTGCCGGCGCACACAAAGCCCCTCTATGGCGCGGGGCTGTCCGTCTGGCCGCGGTGGATGCACGGGGTAACGCGGCGCAGCGCGGGCGTCGGGCCCCGAGCAGACCTGCTGCAGCCAGGGCACCCACTGCCCCTGCCCAGCGAGCCAGCACCCTCCTCTGCCCCGTGCCTGCAGCCCACAGGCACGGCAGGCACAGCTCCTGCCCGGCAAGCAACCTGCTGTGGCCACTGCAGCACGGCCAGGCCACACCAGGCAGACACCCTGCCTGAGGATGCACTGAGGATGCATCTGCAACAGATATGGGGCAGCAGAAGTCAGCTGCACACTGGGATAAATGTTTTTGTGAACTCTGCACAGGTCAGAGGGGAGTCTCTGGCTGGGCAATCACGCAGATGATTAGTTACACTGCACTTCTCCGAAAGAGCATCAACAAAGTTTGGATTCTCTTCTATTGCGCCTTTTAACTTAAAAATGAAAAAATAAACAGTCAAAGAAGAGATTAAATTAAGGACAGGATTCTATAAATGCCTCTATTAGGCAGCTTGTTATTTTAATTCTCTTTAGCAATGTGAGTTTGACCCGCATGCCCACCTACCATCACAGTGGCCCAGCACTCAGCCCAGGGTATGGCCCTCAGCATCCTGCAGCAGGCTGCCTGTGCCCTCCCACTCACTGCAGGGCTATTCCGGGAACAGGCCAAAACAATGAGAAGAACATTTTTCCCTTTAGCTGGGAGCATGCTCCCTGGAGGCTGTTCTCAGCTGTGGGGCCGCATCCAGCCCCCAGCACACCCCAGCAGCCAAAGGAAGCCGGATGTGAGCTCTGGGGCAGGAAGAAGCTCCAGAACACTGTGGGGCTGCCCAGACAAAGCCAGTGGGGAAAGAATGTGTCTCTAACGAGAAAGCCCCTGTGCATCCTGGCAGCACCAGCCCCAAGCAGCACGCAGCAGAGCAGGGTGGGATGGCTGCAGGACAAGACGGACAGGATGCACTCTTGGACAAGCAGCCACCATGCTGCTGGCTCTACCCCAAATGCTTCCCAGCCCTCGAACCAGACTGCCTCAAGGCAGGAGGCATGGTGTCCCCGGGATCTCGATGCCCAGCTGTAGCACAGGCCTTCTGGGACTCCACTGGTTTCTGGCACAGCCTCCTTCCCACAACCCATGCCCACAGTCACACACACCTCCCTGTCTGCCAGCACTGCCAAGTTGGTCTGTTTATAGCCTTTTTGCTTGTTCTCTCCATTTCCTTGTTAGCTCATCCGCCTTTATTAGTTTATCCTAGGCATACTTTTCTGCTGGCTCCGCTGAGGTGACTGACCACACACATGGCTGGGCTCTGGCTGGGACACATATACAGCAGAAGAACCCACTTTCAGAAATGAATGCATTATTGTGAGTTTCTACACCATTTTCTGCTCTCAGTGTTCCTTTTCACCAAGTTCAGCAAGTTCAAGAGCTGGTGGGTACATGACCAGATCAGGCCTTTCAATGTGTTTGCTACAGAACCATCATGCTGCCAGCAAAGCAGGTCAAGCTCTGAAGTTAAATAGCCAGGGACGTAGACGGAGAATAGTGTTATTGTTTCTTCCTCCCACTACAAGCCCTGCACTTTGATACTGCCTTGCTCTTCCCACAGGCAGAAAAGTATGAGCTAAGGAAAATATGGAAAAAAACCCCAACTACCTCACTGCATCCCTGCAGTCTGTGGGAAATGGTGCCACAAACCAAGCAGACACGCGGCTCGAAGCCTGTCCTCCCTCCCTGCAGGAAGGCACTGCTGGCACAGCGCTCCGCAGCCACGCTGCCGCAGCTCTCCCCACGCCAGACACGGCCCCGGCCAGCCTGCTATTTCTGCTCATGGAACATCATCGTCTCCATCAGAAAAACAGGAACCCGCAGCGGCAGTCAGCATCGCGGCCTTGGAAGCCGCCATCACAAACAGGAAGGATTGCAGTTTCACGTTTCACCACCATCGAAGGCATGCCTGGAATCACCCGGGCATACAGGCTCCCTTGGGAGACAGCTGCCCTGCACCAGCTGCAAAATCTACTTTGTGACTGAATGGGATGGAAACAGGAACTTGTGAGCAAAATCGAGACCCTGTATTGCTTCACAGCACTTCTAACTATGGACACACATTTCTGAAGTGTCCTGCTTCGAACCAGAACAGGTTCCCACACACGCATGACCTTGCACAGGGCAGCAAAACTGAAATGACATTCAGTTCAGTTGGCAGAGGTATGAAGAGGTCCCTGGGGCTACCAGCACCCTTAAGCCTGGGACTCGCTTTGTCAGAGATGCACAAGAGTGGTACCAGAGTGAGATGTTGTCTGTTTTATCTCATACCTCCAGAAGTCAAGTCATGCCTTCGTCTAGAAGGGAAGGCCATCTCAGCTAAAAATTATAGGGATGATGCTGCCAACCTGCTGCACAACACACAGACTCCCTTAAAGAATAGATGAGCACATTCTCACTCAGTTAAAATAAAATACAAAATGGAGAACGCCAAGCTTTAGCCCGAGCAGCTACACACCTGCTGATACCCGGCCTGTCTGGTTTCAGTGTTACTGAGACCAAGCTGAGAATGACCCAGCTCTGGAAACCTGCGGACAACACTGAAGATTGGTGGACCTTTGAAAACTGCTCCAGAAACCTCAGAGAAAGCGTGTAAGCCTCCGTCATGCAAGGCACGAGTACTTAAAACACAGGCAACTCTGTGTCGCCGCTCCAGCCAGGCTGTAAGAAGCCAGCCAGTGCCACACCTCCAGCCATGCACTGAGCACAGGTAAGAATCGGGCAGGTAGGCCCATGCTACAAACAGAAGAAAAGACCACATGAAACAGAGGAGAATTTTGTTATTTCCTCTACCCGTCATCAAGAAGAATTTACAGTAAATGCCGGAGCAGTTCAAGGTCACCGGGGCTGTACCCAAGGCTGGTACCCGAGGCCGCTCCTGCAGCCTCCCCAGCCTCGGAGGAGCCGCCGGGTCTCAGGGAGGCCAGCGGGGCGCTCCAGCCCCGGCCCAGGCGCGAGGTCGCCGCGACGGCCGGCCCGACAGCCCCCGGCAGGCCCCGCCGGGGCTCAGCCC